GTCTATCATGATATTACCTGTTGGTTCAATTGGGAGGATTTTTGTTTTCTTTACATTGAGTTGCAATCCATATGGAAGGTTGCAGTCTCTGATCTATGTAGGTTTATCTCTTGTATTTACATACTGAATGGTTGAGTTTTATTCTGTCAATCAAATTGAAATATTTTTATTCAATAAATTATTCTATTTCATATGTATTACCTGTACTTATGATGTTAACTCAGTAATATTCTGTTATAATTAGTATATTGATTATCATATAAAATAATAAAATTTCCATCTGTTTTTTTATTTTAATATTTAGAAAAAACATTTTTGTACTACCAGTTAGACATGACTTTATTCTTCTGTTTTGTTTTTAAATTTATTAAATTTTCCTCCCCCCCATCTACTTTATCTGTTCTTATGGTAGCCATCGATTCACCCCTATTACCAAATGATTATGAAGGGACTTACTCTATCTCTTTATACTTCTCTGTCTTCAGAAGGGCTTATTTGTATTATTTAGATCTTATTTAAGAAAAATATTGATACAAAGTGTTTAACAGATGTAACTGTAGATTTTAGACAAACAAATGTGGGGACAAGGTAGGAAAATAATACATTATATGATACACATTGTAGGGCATTGGTAATTCTTCAATAAACTGGGAAACCTAAGAGAAATGATAAATAAAATAAAATGAAGCAGAAATAAGAAAATAATAATAACATAAAGATAAGAATCAAGATTAAGAATGAAAAGACAACCAATAATATTTTAAAATGCCAGAGAAGAAATTTCTGTCATGGAACAAGCAGCAAATATTTAAATCTAGAGCAAATTCAGGTTGGGTTAAGAGGGAGGTCAACTGACCAAGTATCATATTATATCATGGTTTGATCCATCATAATCAAAGAAAATGTTGTAACTTTTCTGATAGTACTTTGGGGTGGTTTTTTTTTTTTTTTTCATTCTCTTTATTCTTGGGTTTCCTTTTCTCCTTATTATTTCCCCTTTTGTGCTCTTAGTATTTTAGGTTCTGATTTCATAGTGTTTTCTCTCTTCCTCAGGTGCAACCTGGGGCACATTTAGTCTATTTGTGATGACTGCTACAGTGCCACTTAGTCTCGTTTGACTTTGCTCGATTTTAAGGGACAGCTTCTTACCAGACAAAGCGTTGGAATTTCATTTTGTCTTTTTTTTATCCCCAACAGTTTTTTTGGCACTTAATTTACATATCATACCATTGAATAGTTCAATCATTCAATCATATCGAGTGGAATTGTCCAATCAGCACCACATCGATCTTAGAGCATCCCACCCCCATAGTTAAACAGCCTCTAAAATGAGCTGTCAATCACAATTAGTGCTGGTGCTCTTCTCCCCTCTCCCCTTCATTATTGACTCCCAAGATCCCCTTTCCCTCCCTATCAGCTGGCCTGACCCCGGCATTCCCTATAACTCCTTTTATCCGTTATTATCATTATGCATCCACTCCTCCTGTGCTTCACAGCTGGGATATCCAACAGAAAACAAATCACACTAAGTATAAAGACAAAAATACAAATAATGCATGAGAAGGAGAAGACCCCCGTCGACATTCAGAAACCAGGGAAGCAATTTCTATCCTAGAACAAATAAGGGATGCTTACATATTTTGTCTTTTATGGTTGCAGTAGTAACTTTTTTAGTGATGAAAACCATACCTCTGAATTTCTGTGACCAGGGCTGGTGGTTGGGGGTGAGTTTGAGATCCTTAGTTAAAGCATCCCCTCTTATTTCTGTAGTCGGGTGTTTTGAGTAGTAGAGTTCTAAAGCTGCAGTGTCTAAGGGAGGTAGGGATGAGGTCCCTTTGATTGTGTGTTAGGGCTCTCTAGAGAAACAAAACCAAAATGCTAATAATTTTATATATATTTATACAGATAGACAGATAGATAGATAACATAAGAAATAAACAATTAAATTATAAAGCAGTACAAATGTCTCAGTGCAACTCACTCCTGTGAGGCAGTTGTGAGACACTGGCAGTCCTTCATGTCTTGAGGACTGCTGGGTAATCCTTTATAGAGCAATTCAGGCTGTCTGGGCACAGGCAGCACACAGCAAGGCAGGTCACCAACAGTCAGCCAAATGACAAGGTCTGACCATCCCCAGCTCAAGAGATATAAATTCCAATCGTGTGGCGGAGCAGGTCTTGAAGGAACCTCAAATTACAGCAACACAGTCCACGGGTTAGGTGTCCCACAGGTAGTGTAGCTTGCAAATGGAGGCACAGAACAAGCAAGGCAGCCACACACTGGTCCGATGATCAAAGAGCAAGAGACAAGAAAGGCGAGGCTCACCGAGCCATTTATCTCTCCGTCCTTCAATTAATCCCATGTGTGCTTATCGGCCAGGTTGGCACAATAAACTAACTACCTCAGATTGCTTCTGATTTCCTTTTGTCATGAAGCATTTTCAGTCTTATCTTCCTTCTTTATTGATGGTCCCCTTCATTGGATGGCTTCCCAACAAAGCACCTCTCCTTTTCTCTTTTTATAATAAAAACATTTACTTTTGATCATTTACATATATTATAATTTCTCCACTTCAAATGTACAATAAATGCCTTCTTTCATAGTCACTCCTAGGAGGTTCAGGGTAGTGGTACAAATGCCCACGGTCTCTGGGCTGGTAGTTTGTGACCACCAGAGGTTCCTTAGTAGAAAGCCTTTGCAATCTACATCTGAAATCTCATAGAGTTCTTCTCTAGCAAAAAGGGGTTACCATGAGCTGACATGGACCCAACAACAACTAATTTCGTTTGGCTGGTTTCTTCTAAAGGAGCCCTGGTGGCACAGTGGTTATGTATTGGGCTATGATCTGAAAGGTCGATGATTCAAAAACCACCAGCCAACTCCTCGGGAGAAATATGGAGCTTTCTACTCTCATAAACTGTTAGAGTCTTAGAAACTCAGAAGGGCAGTTCTACCCTGTCCTACAAGGTCCTTCCCTATAAGTCATCATCGACTCAATGGCTGTACGTTTGGTTTGGGTTTGGGTTTATTATAGTCTCTGAATAGTGCCACAATCACAATATACTTGGAAATAATTCACACACATAAATTGTATCCACTAGTAGTCTCTTCCATTCTCTCTTACCCCAACTGCCAGTAATCACTAACCTACATGCTATAGTTTTACCTGCATGAGACATTTCCTACAAATGCATTTATATTACACGTGGCCTTGTATGAATGGCTCTTTACCTTTATCTTTAGAAGTAGAGTAGGAATTACTGTCCCAGACTGTCCCCCTCTCGTTCCTACCCTCCCTTATAATTCCTGTCCATTAGGTAGTGTGTCCCTGTGCCAATATATTTGTTATCACTTTCCACAGTTGTGCTTACTTTCCATGAAGGCTTGTGGGAAGGAAGTATAACAGATAATTCATTGGCATCTACTTGTTTTCCTGTTAAATTGTCCAGCTAACTTTAGGTTTGAGTGTCCTTTGTCTTTTAGTTAGGCTGAAGGCATACATTTGGTACAGTTTTATTTGTTTCTATTGGTCTCGGTTGTTTTCAAACAGAATTTGGAATTTCTGGTTTATATGACTGTCATTTCCTTGTCAACCCAGTATTCTAACAACATCCTTTTTAGCCAAATTTGGGGTTCTAAATATTTGGGATACTGAGAGTTGCAAGTTAATCTGGAACTGTGCTTTAGCACTGAGAAAACTCATTATAAGGCTCTGACTGTATTTGCTTGCTTTTATCTTGATAGGCCATAAACCTATGAAATCCTTGTCTTAAAGTGATTGCATTTTAAGGCTATGACTCAATATTGTTCTACCCTGTCCTAGAGGGTCTGTATGATCGGCATCGGCTCTATGGTGTGAGGAAGTGGGGGGAAGCAGAAGCTAAGCTACCAGTTTCAACCAAGAGTGAAATTTTAGTTCAAAAGGACAGGTGGCAAGGCAGAGTTTCCATTGTCTACTTTTTTTTAATTCCCCAGAACAGGAAGCCTAAGCAAATGCAGTTTCTATGAATTGGAGGATAAAATGGGGAGCAGGGAGCCTATGGTGCTTCAGAGACAGGAATTCCATGACCACATCCATGGCATGATAACAGCATGAGCTGGAAGCTGGTGACTCAGAAAGAGCCCAGTTGTCTCCGTAGGTCATGTCACCAGGAGTCAATTCCAGGTGACAGCTCAGGAGTTCAGGAAAAGGGGCATTCATCAGTCATCCCAACAGATGGGGCTAATCCGGCACGTGCTGTCTCCCGGGTGACTCCAGGAAGCCTGCAGGTGGGCGATAGGCCCAAAGCTGATAAATGCCAGCAGAGAGACATGAGCAAGGCAAGGGCAATGAGACCATGAGGCTGTTAGACAGCTGGGCACCTGCGTTAGTACTGTGACTCAAAAGGAAGTCATCCTCAGACAGCTTTTGTAACTGAAAATAAAATAAAATCTAAAGCTAAACCACGCAGCTCTTCTTACTTCCTGTTTCTTAGAGATGATAACATAGCAGGAGGAACTAGAGAGATCAGGCTTGCTGCTCACATCAAGGGTCACACCCTCGGAAATCCACAGGAGCAGTTCTCCTCTGTCCTATGGGATTAGCCCTTGGCAGTGAGGACCCTGGAGATCACAGGGGAACATCACCTGCGCTCTGGCTTCATTAATGTGTGGAAGCATTCCTCACGAAAACGTCACTGCCAGAGTCAATTCCGACTCACAGCGACTCTACAGTCAGGGTAGAACTGGGCCCTGTGAGTTTCCCAGACAAGCCCTTCAGTGCCACAGAAAGCTTTGTCTTTCTCCCAAGGTGGTTTCGAACTGCGGGCCTTGCAGTTAGCCGCCCAACTGGTAACCACTCCACCTCTTCCAATTGTTCCCTAGCACCCAGGACCACCTTGTGTTTCCCCATTTCAAAGTAGGTTGATGATATTTTCAGCATGCTACTGTCTGACATCTCTTTTTCGTGGAATGCCTATTTAAAACGTGGTTCGGCTTGTTTCCCGCCTGCTTTGTTTCAGAGGACGTCCTGATATCCTTCACCGTGTCCATGGCGATCGGACTGGTGATCGGAGGCTGTTTCTGGGCGCTGCTGGTTTGCTTGTCTCGGAGAAGAGCCAGCGCTCCCATCTCGCAGTGGAGCCCCAGCAGGCGCTCGCGGTCCTACCACCAGGGACTGCACCGGAGCGGCTTTTACCGCCACAGCGGCTGCGAACGACGCAGCAACCTCAGCCTGGCCAGCCTCACGTTCCAGCGACAAGCGTCCGCGGAGCAAGCAAATTCTTTCCCACGAAAATCCAGTTTCAGGGCCTCTACTTTCCATCCCTTTCTGCAATGCCCGCCGCTTCCCGTGGAAACGGACAGTCACTTGATGACACTCCCTGCTTCCAGCGCTTCGCCCACCAGCAACTCGTCCCCAAGCCTGGGCCGCCCGGATGCCCACTGGTCCAGCAACAATCTCCGCATCGCCTTCTCCACCCCGCCCCCGCCGGCCTATGAGTCTATCATAAAGGCTTTCCCAGATTCTTGAGTAGGGGGAGCGGGGGTATTTTTCTTTTCTCTGGTTCTTTTATTTTCCTGTATTTTATTGGGAGGGAATAATATTTTATTATTAAATTGACTCCGCAGAAGGTTGAGCTCACGGCTCAAAGAACGAAGGGGTTTCTGAGCTGAACATACGCTCCCCGGAGTTGGACATTATCCATAGAATACCATCTCTTTGAATACATTTGGGTGTGTATGTTGCAAAGGAAAGTAACGAAATAAGTGTGTATTTATATGTTTGATACTCAAGATAGTGGTTCAGATCTATAAAGAAGCCGTGGTGCCATGTGTATGTGTATACTGAGCTAAAATGCTAGCTATAAGTGGTTCACAGACCTCGTTTATTTCCCAACGTGGCTGGAAAGGATGGAGGGGATCACTGGGTCATCTTTTATACAAATATTCTGCCCCACAGAATTGTAATTTTACTTTCGGGATGTTTAATGACTTTTACGCAGCAGAACGTGACCGTGTCAGAAATGAGGGTTTCTTGATTTCCTCGGTGTGTGAGAAGTCAGGGGCTCAAACATAGGAGGCGGAAGGCGGCTGGTGTCTCGCTATCGCGTACTGTCCGGTTCTTCAGAACCCATGTGGCAGAGGAGACCTGCCCCATATGGGTTTTCTCAACTGTGGTCTTCATGGAAGAAGACTACAGGCCTTTCTCCCATCAATCTATGTTTAGCAGGCACGTACTTCACTGCTGACCCCACCAGGGCTCTTGTTTGAGGTTATCAAAAACACACAAACAATCAAGAATCCTCACTGCCAGGGAGCCGAGTCGCTTTGATTTGGAAACGTACTTTCCCCCAGGCACCCGCTTTTGACCCTTTCCCCAAGAAGAGTTTCCCTACTTCCCGGAGGGAGAACTCCTCTGATGTCCTAAGATGATCATAGAATGAGCCTTCACTTTTGTCGTTTTGCTACGTTGCTACAAATACAGCACCAACCCACATCGATTTGACCTAAAAACACACTTTGACATTTTTCTTAAGGGACAAGTTGGGGTTTTTTTAAGCATTTTTATTTTCCATGCTTATATCTAGAAACAAGGAAAACCAGTTACTCTCGGAATCATCTTTTGGTTCTTCGGAGATGGAAGAAGTAAGGGTCAGCTGGGTGACAGTGCTTGCTGTTGAAACGGAGGCTACCTTCCGGAGGCATTCTCCTTCCTGGGTCAATACAGCCTGCAGGTGTCATCCCTCATCTGCTCCTCGATGAATTCGGTGAATCCCAAATCTCTGAAGACCCTGTGCACACTAATAAAAGCATGCTGATGGTTGGTGCAGATACTTCTTTAAAAAGTCCACTTCCACAAGTAGCCACCCTCCTAAATGGGGGTGCCAGAGGGTTTCAGTGGCCAGATGCCTGATGCCCCCTTTTTGTTTTAGAACATGAGGTCACAGAGGGTATTGTTAACAAGGCCTATGGTTTTCTTCTGCTGTAGTGAGCCTTTTGTTACATTGCCTTTTGCTTGTTTCTCTGAATATTGGGACTTTCAGTGACAAAACTGACTCTTGTTTTCTGCAATGTGGTGGTCATAATTTTGTTTGGCTCAAGGATGTAACAATTCTTATGCAATAAAAGATTCTGCGTGGCATTCTCTTTATTAGTCTAATTTAGCTGGCACTATCCGTGGTTCCTCAGATGAGGAACAAAGACATCTCTAAGTGAGTGCTCTGATGCGATGTGACGGGAAGAAGGAGGGAAAGCGAGGAAGAGAGGAAGAAGGAAGAAAGGGAAAGAGAAGGAATGGGAGGGTGTCTCCCTAAATGATCAAATTAATTGTTAGTTGGTTTTTAACAAGGAAATTTAAAGTTTTCATAGGCCAAGTATGATTTTAACAGCCTGTTAATTTAGTAACGACCATTTCTCTCTCTCTCTTTTTACTTTAATGTGAGAATTAAGCAAAGTGTATGATTTTTGTCTAGAATTTATACTGGCAGTAAAAACTGCTTTATGTCTCTCAAATTAAGGAAACAAGAGCCGAGGTTTCCCAGCTGTGTGTAACCATCTGGCTGAATTGCTGCCTCCCTCTGTCCTGAGCGACCCAATAGTCACAATGAGTGTCTTCATAGATACTGTTTAGTGGAAGAAATGTGAAATCAGAGCAAAAACTGGAGAGGTTTATTTTGGTTGTGATTCCTTTGTTTTTTGATGATAAATAAAACGCAGCTGATGGCAAGTTTGGTGTACAGTGCATATGTTGAAACCAAAAGCAAGAGTGTAAGAAATTGTGAAATGCAGCTCTAGATTAAGGAAACACTTTTGAATAAAGACACATTTCAATCTATGGATCTATACACAGAACTAAAGTTTTATAACTTATTAAAATTAGTTGAATAAAAAAAGTATCCTTTTTAATTTGGTGTCTTAACCGAATGTAGACCATTCTTTGTAACCTAGAAGACTGAAATAAAACAATTCATTTTTTGCATGAATATGTACAAGATATAAAAATAAAGAAGATTTTTCAATAAGTTGAGGCCAATAGAAAATTAGTACGTTACTTGTTAAAAAGTGAAATTAAGAAATAACGAGAATGTTGATACAATGTGAAGAGTGTCCCCAATATCACTGATTGTTATGTGTAGAAACTGGGATACTAAGAAACCCCAAAACCAAGCTCACTGCAACACATCAATGCTGGCTATTTTTTTTAAACTTTATTTGGGGCCTTTACAACTCTTATCACAATCCATACATGCATCCATTGTGTCAAACACATCTGTACATATGCTGCCATCATCTTTTTCAAAACATCCTTTTTCCATTGAGCCCTTGGTGTCAGCTCCTGTTGTTGGTTTTTTCAGTGCTGATTAATAGTGACCCTATTGGACAGGGTAGAACTGTCCCTGTGGGTTTCTGAGACTATAACTCTATACAAGAGTAGAATGCTCCATCTCTCTCTCCTGGTGCAGCTGGTAGTTTCAAACTACTGACCTTATGGTTAACAGTCCAACAGATGTAACCACTATGACAGGAGGACTCACAGAAACTTGGGCTAGGTGGAGGTAGAATTTATGCTGTGCATATTTTTGCCAAAAATAAAATTAAACAAAATTAATTTAGATTTCTACTCCCTTGTGCCCATCAAAATAATTCCAGAATTATCTGATTAACTTATTTACAAAATAAACAGCTTAAATACAGGCCATATAGAAGCAGGAAATTTGAAACGAGTGCTCAGAAAATCTATAAAAGGGGAAAAATAGGCTTTCCTAGAGTCAGAGGGATGGTGTAAATTGCCAAAGACAACATTGATATCTTTGATTGCAGTATTTTAAAAATTGTAAAGCTCTGTTCATCTGAAAATATATCCAGTTGAAAAGCAAACTAAAAAAATTAAGAGAGACAATAACACCACCATAAATATTACAAATAAATCCCCAATATCTTTAAATTATACTGTTTTTATTAGATCCCATCGAGTCCGTTCAAACTCGTAGCAATCCTGTATACAATAGAACAAAACACTGCCCAGTCTTGTGCCAGCCTCAGAATTGTTGTTAGATCTGAGCTCACTGTGGCACCCACACTGGGTCAATCCATCTTGTCCAGGGTCTTCCTATTTTTCTCTGCCCCTCTATTCACCAAGCATGACGTTCTCCTCGAGATTGGTCTCTCCTGAGAGCATGTCCAAAGCACACGAGATGAAGGCTCCCCATCCTCACCTCTAAGATCATACTGGCGGTACCTCCTCTATGATAGCCCTTGGCAGTCAACAGCATTCACCAGCTCCTTCATTCAAATGCATCAAGTCTCTTTATTCAATGTCCAACTTTCACATGCATCGGAGGAAACTGACAATACCATGGCTTGGGTCTGGCACATCTTAGTCCTCAGAGTAATATCCCTGCTTTGTAAAGGCCCCAAACAAAAGATTCTCCCAAGAGAAAATTTAATTAATGGTAGAATGGTCATAATTCCTACTGAGGAATTGCATTTAAATAATCTCTAGCATCTTTTTCATATTAGCTGATCATTTCTAAGCGTTTTCACACAGGCCTGGGAGCCAGGGAAATAAAGTCTGAACTTGGGGAGACAGTCTGATACAAGGTGTCCTTGTTTTGTATTGGATAGGTAGCGAAGTCTCATAGTACCTGCCTGGGACACAGGCTTTCTTTAGGAAAGTAGTGAGGGATTTTTAGGGACACCAGTCCTACTATATCAGCCAGATGTACCCAGATAGGACATTCCATATGAAACAATAGATCTTTCCTGTTTTGAGGTAAGAGGATTGGGATGAGAAAGAAGAATGGGAGAATTGCCAGCAGCAATACCATAGAACTATGGAGGGGCAGGGTGATAGTGGAATGTCAGAAGTCTGGTGCCAAAAAGTTGGAGCATCCTCTTATTAAAAAATATGCATTACTTATATATACTTTTATGGCTTCATCTCCTGAAAAGAATTAACCACAAAACCAGTTCCAGGAGGAGATGATGACAAATAGATTCCTAGATTCTATACACTGGCACAGTGCTGCCCTGACCTCAACAAGTGGGACCCCGATCTCAGTCTCGTGTCTCATGCCTCATGGGGCCACATGCTTTGGAATATGTTCTTTGAGATTCTAAGGCACAATTCAGTGAAGAGGACTTTACAAGTCTGGGAATGCTGTCTGGTTGTGGTGTCCTGAGCCTGGACTATGACCTGTGTGGATCTTTGCCCTGTGTGGATTACTTTCCTTTGAAAGTAATTCTTGAAAGTGTTCTTGGACCCTCTGTCCCATGGGTGGGGTCAAGGATATGCTCAGGAAGCCCCAGGGCTTTTATCACTGGGGTATGCTTGGTCTCATTGATTGATTCCTGCTTTTACTCCCTTCTTGAAACCACATGACATTAGGCCATGAAAATGAGACTAACATACCGGTGAGGACGACTCCTTGCAAGATGAAGAATCTTTATATACCCTAATTGGACAATAAACAAATCCGTAAGTACTTCTTTATGGCTCAGTTTAAATCTTCATAGATCATTATAGTTCACATGCACCAATGAGCTTTAATTAAAATGTTTATACTGATAATAAAGACCCTGAAAACATTTCTGCTCAGCATTTCACACACCCCACGGGTGACCCTGTGCTACTATATGGCAGGGACACCCAAAGTTTGACTGAAGTGATTGGGAAACAAGTGCCTGCTTTGTGGTGATGAAACACTTGTCCTCTCTGATCCTTGTGATACATTGTCTTACGATAGAGCTTTGAACATTGGGTAGTAGCTTTAGAGTGGCCCCAACGAAGAACCAGCTTCACTGGCTCCCTCTCACAACCTCAGTGAAGCATTGGTGTGCATGGTGGCCTTGGAAGGCATCTTGCGGAAATAATAGACCCCAGTCCCAAGGTGCATAATCAGGGAATGATGGAACTTCCTTCCTCTGGTACGACAGCCAGAAATCCTTTCTGTTGTAGCTGGACCTTTCTAGAATACCAGCTCCAGAAATGAACATCTTTGGGAATTGTGGGGTTACCAGAGTAGTTGGGGCTCTATGATTAATGAAGATCTTTCTTGACACAAGCAGACAGTGAAAGGGAAGGAAGTCCTTGCTCAGACTAAAGTCACTATTGCTACTAACCATTGAGTTGACTCCAACTCATGGCAACATTACAGGAAACAGAAGGAAATACTGCCTGTCCTGGCACCATCTTCATGCTTGTTGTATGTTTGAGCATAGCTGAGTTGGCATGTTTACGCTAAAATTAAAATTAGATTGTTGACTCTCATGGCAGGAAGAAAGTGGCTGCCGTTTGGTAACAGAAACCAAGTAGTCAAATTATCGAGGAAATTTGAGAAGGAAAATATGAAGCTATGGTAGGAGTCCTCTAAGATGAGGGCTTAAAGATCAAGTGCAAATAGAAAAAAATACAAATGGAAGATAAATAATTGTTATTTACGTACAATTGCATAAAATCAACGAGGAGGGAAAGGCACATGAGAAAGACCAGGGAACTCACTGATAATAAATGATAATAAAGATTTTTAAATAGAAAACTTGATCTGAATTGAAAGTAAGAAAAACTGTAAACTTCTATTACCAATCTGAGAAGAATAAGAAGAATATGCAATAGAATTTTTATAAAATTGACATCAAGAACAAGATGCATTTTCTAGCTCAGGGACCTGATGAACGTGAAGAATCCATTACGTGGAAACAACCCCGCGAGCAATGAGAAGACTCAGTGCCTATGAACAGTGGTTGGAGACGAATGAAGTGTAAGAAGGACTCATCCTCAGCCCCAACACACACACACACACACACACACACACACACACACACACACACGCTGCCATTCAACTTGAGGAGTCAAGGAGCTTTCAGGCAGGGACTGTGGGAATTTGAAGACAAGCTTTTTTTGTATCTTCAAAGAAATAGAGTCTGTTCTGCTAAAATGTGTATTTCTTTGATGTCAGGTACCTCTTACACGATTGGGAGGTAGAGAAATGGTAACAATATAATTCAAAAGTCCTTTGGTTCCTTGGGTGTTTTTCCTGGACCATCCATATCTTGAAGGAACCAGGACTGTTGTTAGGGGTTGTCAGGTTGTCTCATAGCGACCCCATGTATAAGAGAGTGTAACACTGCCGAGCCCTGCACCATTCTTGTAATGGTGTTGGTGTTTGAGCCCATTATTGCAGCCACTGTGTCATTCTTCCCTTTGCAGACACTCTACCTGGTCAAGCATGATGTCCTTTTCCAGAACCGGTTTCTCCTGATAAAATGCCCAAAGTACGTGAGGCCAAGTCTTGCCATCAATCCTTTCTAGGGCACATTCGCCTGTCCTTCCTCTGAGAGAGATTTGTTTGCTCGTCTGGGAGTCCATCGCACTTCCCTTATTCTTCACCAGTGCTGTATTTCAAAATTCATCGATTCTTCTCCAGTGTTCCTTATTCATTGTCCAGCTTTGAATACACTTGCTCAAATGAAAAACTCTCAATTCCAGAAGATAAGTGTGTTCTGTTTCTGATCCCTCCCTCCGCTCGATTGTCTGGAATGTTCCCTTCCCTGCACTCACCGCCTAGCACGAAAATGTAATGTAATTGTGGGACTTAGCTCATTTGTTTTCCTTCCTTTGGCGAACCACACTCCTGGGATGCCTGGACTGTAGCATGTGAAAATCATTGTTTTAGATATTTTGTCCAATTTCACGGTTTGGTTATTGCCAGAAGGTAAATATTATTC